ATTAATGTAGATCAGCCAAATTTGGTATCTCCCCTTCAGTAGGGGGAGACGCTACATCTCCCCTTCACTAATTCCATATCCCCTTACACAGATTTCTTTTTTTGTATACACGTTTGCCTAATTTGCTTGGGGAGATGAGCTGTTGAGAGCGACCTGTATGTGTTTTTGGTATAATTTATTAAAAGAGGAATGGGTTATGTCATATGATAGTAAAATTAATTCATATTTTTCATCAGCTCGACGCTTTTTAGCATCAGGTGCCTTCTCTACGGTTACCCTATCCTTCAGCAAACCCACAATGATTCCATTACCCTTTTTACGCTCTTTTTCAAATCAACGTCATTTTTGAGTGCCGACTTGGTGAGTGAGATATGGTATTCGGTTTCGCTGGTACAGTAAATATCCTCCGTCGTATATAAGATGAAGTACCAGTCCGTTCCTAATATATACGAAATAAAATTTCGCTTACAAGTCGTGCAAATTAATATGCCTACCCGTTGAGACGATGCCATATAAATATTCATAGTCTGATTCCCCGAATGCATCACTCGCCTTACGTTTCTTTTGATTTTTAAATTTGTCTGACACGAACTCTCCAGCTGGACAAGGTTTTTGAGCGAATCCGATGGTTGGCAAGTTTTGCTTACCTTCTGCCATGCATAACAAATCCTCTGTATCCGTTATGCCATAGTCAGCTCGCATCACCTATGATTTCTTGTTCTGGATGGATTTTTATCTCTTCACCAGTGACCTCTTTTGCTATACAAACTGATGCATGAAGGATTGCAAAAATATATTCTCTGCACATGGCTTCATTGCTGTCTGCTACTGTTCCCATATTCATCAGTTTTACTAGTATATCTGAGATGCAATGGTGAAGAGCTTCATCTTCCTCATCAAGAGGGTGGGTTTCTAGCACACATATGTTGGATGAGACTTGCTTTGGTGTAAAATAATATTATGCTGACTCACTGCTTACCTGGCTGGAATTGCAGATGCTTGTTATACTATTGCTGTTGATGCCATACTTTGCCAGTACTTCTTTAAAATTTTTCAGACTGCAGTATGACAATGTCCTCAATTTTTTCTCCTTGACCTCTTTGGTGAAGTCATCACTGGTTCTCCTTTCATACCATCTTTACAAAAACTTGCATTTTTTAAAAATGTCTTGATGAGATTTGCAGGATGTTGTGCTCATAACCATGTGACATTTACAATCAGAAAATATTGCTAAATTTCTATTAGTATCCTGGCAATCTTGTCACAAGATTCTGCTAGATTGTTCAACTTTGTAAAATTTAATCTTGTGGGCAACATCTTCATGATACACTAAAATTAGAATCCTCATGGCAATCTCATTACATGATGCTTGTTAGATAGTGGTGAGCTTATTCTATGTCACAGAGAGATTTATAAAAACTACAGGTTTGTGTAAAGATAGCTACAAAGTTTTTCTTCAGTTAATTTGGGGAATGCACAGCCAGTGATCTTCTCATCACAAAGGGTTTTAAAATTGTCTTCATCAAGTTGCAAGTCTTCTTATAGTAGTTGTTCAATTAAGAATGAATTCTAATCTACAAGTGACCTATTTATATAATTAATTTAAATGTGTACTTCTCAACTCCCTATCCAAGCTTCAAATCACTCATAATTCCAAATAAGGGTACCCACAATACAATGATAACAACAATTATTTTTATTGCAGAATCGAAGGGGAATAAATTCTATTTAATATTAAATGGGTTATCTTTGATTTAGTATTTTGACTAGTCAAATTCTGTCACTTGTCTCAAACTAATTAAACAATATTTGTTTTTAATAAATAATTAATAACTCTTGTTCTTCAATTAAGAGTATTAGATCAACAGAAATTTATACAGTGTGATGCGCCGCGATCGATGACGTATTCTCTCCTTATTTCTGCGCTTCTCCAGCGTTGCCGCAGTCCAAATCAATCGGCGGTAGCACTAGCACAGCTGCGGATTTCAGCATGGGGTAGTACGGACACTGTCGGAGGTACAAATTTACGTTAGGTAATACGGTTAGTGAAAAATCACTAACAGCGTAACGAACATTTCGATACTGGTAGTACGGTTAGTGAAAAGTCACTAACGGAAATGCTTCGAATTATTCAGATGTATATTGCTCAATTATAAATAGAATATTAGAAGTAGCTGCTAAAAATAGCTCAATTAGACCGCTCAAAAGATATATAAGCAGCAGGAGTTTCAGCTAGAGTCGGTGTGTTATGTGTTAGTAATATTC